GACGAATTTGGCACTTAAAATCCCACTTGTGCTATTTTTCTTTTATTTGCTTGACAAATCCCACAAAACACAAAAACAATGTAAATAGCTCAAAAATATAAGGAACTAACTAAGAAAAGACAAGTGAATTTGGTGTAAAATATATATAAATATGAGCTTATCACCTCCTTAACTCGGGTTGGTGCTTGGATTGCTTCCACATTGTTTACCCAGGCTTGACGTTCTGGTGCAAGGTTTGAGCATGACACATAATTAGTTATTGGATACTTCACTTTTCCTTCAGGAGAAAACCTGTCAGAAGGAACACCATGATTTTGCCTTGGCGGCAACTTATATGTACTCATAACATTATCTAGATTAGTTACATGAGCATCAGTAGTACTTATCTCAGGAATATTCAAAGAAGACAAATTAGGTGGCACTATTGAGCTTGAGAGAGAGGGGGTTGCGGGTTCGGTAGCTAATGGTTGCTGGAGCGGTGAAACTGGTTTGGTAACTCCCTGCTGACACTTTGCATCACACTCGGTAGCACATTGTCGAGAAGACTCAACTAGTTCGGTGCTACTTGGCTGAATGATTCTCACATTCTCAGCAGTGTCTTGCTGAAATTTACTGTCTCCATTCTCGGCAGTGTCTTGCCGAAAGCTTTCACAACTTTTTTTTTCAATAAATACTCCCCCTGAGCTACATATTTCCAACCACCCAAGATCACCACTCATATTCTCCGTCGGGTGATTGGAAGGTGATGGAGTCGAAGCATAAAAGAACTCGGATTCGGAAAAGGTAACATCCATAGTTACATACATATGACGAGTTTCAGGGTGGTAGCACTTATACTGTTGAGGAGCAAATCCTAGAAAAACACACCGGTGAGCACATGAATTGAGCTTACTACGATGAATCTTGTGGATATGAACATAGGCTACACACCCAAATACACGAGGAGAAAGAGTATTAGTTGACACTATTGGAACAAACTCTGTCAATACTTGGAGAGGTGTACGAAAACCCACAATCTGGGATGGCATACGGTTAATCACATACATGGCATAGGTGACAGCTTCAGGCTAGAACCGTTTAGGTATAGATGCACCAATGAGCAAGGCATGGACAGTTTCCAGGATATGACGGTTCTTTCTTTCAGCAACCCCATTTTCTTGTGGGGTATGAGGACAAGTAGTCTCATGTAGAATTCCTTGATCCCAAAGAAAGCCGGACAACTCAGAACCAATATACTCACCTCCATTATCAGAGCGGAGAACCTTAATAACAGAGGAATATTATGTTGCAACTATTTGAGAGAATGATCGAAACACCATACCCACATCACTTTTATTCTTCATCACATAAACCCAAGTCATACGAGTGCAATCATCAACGAAGGTAACCAACCATTTAATTCCAGACAAAGTACTAACAGTAGAGGGACCCCAAACATCAGAGTGCACAAGTTCAAAAGGAAACAATCTTTTATTCATATTAGGAGGAAACGAAACGCAATGACTCTTCGCGAGAATACATACCTCACAATGTAAGTCTGATTCTTTTATTTCATGAAATAAACTAGGCAACATACGCCTCAAATAACCAAACGAAGCATGTCCTAACCGACGATGCAATCACCAAACTTCTTGTAAATTATTGGTACGGGATGCTCGAACTGCATTAGTTTTGCCAGGAACGACGTCATCCACATAATATAACTCCCTCTATCTTAGTGCCATGCCCAATGATCTCCTTTGTCTGAATATCCTGAAGCAAGCAAAATGAAGGATACATTAATACAACACAATCCAATTGTTCAGTGACTTGGGGTACATATAATAAGTGATGGGACAATGTCGGAACCAATAAACAATTATGTATAGGAAGAAAGGGTGTAAGAGACAATGTTCCCGCTCCAACAACAGCAACAGTAGTACCATTGGCGGTTGCCACACACGTTCTATGAGGATGGGTCATAGATTGAAACAAAGTCTTATCATACGTCATATGATCTGTTGCACCGGAATCCAAAATTCAACCTGTATTCACCATTGTAATAACACGACTGCACAAGAAGGTAGGATAACAATGAAGGTTACGATCTTGATTACAGGTGCTACAATACACAGGTTGCACTATGTGACAGCACTTTACACCTCACAGTAAAAAACAACAAACTCAACATGTCGCAATCCAAGGCAGCAGCAAAACCACAAACATTACCCACACGATACAAAAAATCCAAAGGCCCAAACTAAATGCAGCAGCAATTATCGAAATACAGTTACTTAGTGCACAATTCCTGCAATCAGTATAGCAAAGCAGCAATAAATTCCTTCTTTTTTTTTTTTATCAATAGCAGTGGCAAATCACTACTCGGCACAACCAGCAATTGCTAGAGTACAACAATTACCACAGGATCGCACACTCGGAGCAGCACAATACACGACACAACTGCACAGCAACCAGACACTGGCAATTTTTTCTTCTTCCTTCCTCCCAATAATATTCATGGCAAAGGCAACATGTAAGGGTTAGAATCACCAAAGGGAAAAGGACAAAACTCCAAGATCCTTACTCACGGCAAAGGCAGCACGCACAGCCTTTGCAAATTTCTTGGCAGCACAACGGCACAAGATTTTTCTGGTTAGGGTTACGGCAACTAGGCTCTGATGCCAAATAGAATTTTACGGCTTAATTCTCATGTATTGCATATTTTGAATAAATAGTACATACAATCTATGTTACAAAATAAAACAAAGTAAATGACACAATATCCTTCCTAAAACATGACTCTAATAATTTCAAGATATTTACATTCCTTTTTATTTTAAATATTGACTTATTCCAATAGGCTTTTTGGGATGGAGATTGACGGATCTGGGGCGGGATGTGGGCGCACCGGGGTTCGAAGAAAAAAAATTGAAGACATCATTTGTTACAGGCGAGTTCGCCATTGATGGAAAAGAAGAATCCATATGCAATTGATTTTGTTATCGGCCATGGAAATGGTGGCTCGAAGCTCTGTGATGAAAGACCCGAACTGGCATTGAAATCGAGCAGAGATACCACCTCACCCACCGTCGACGAAGCGGTGATGCTTTTCTTTTCGGCTTCTTTGACTTCCTGGAAAGAGAATTTTCAGTTTGTTTCTAGGGAAAATTGGGATGGAAATTTGGAATTTGATCTTTCATTATGATTTGGGGTCAATTGTTTTGTGTTTTGCAAGAACTGGGGAGACTCTACGCCTGGTTTTAATTTACTTTTTATTATTTTTTTTTTTAACTTATTAAAAGTTAACAAAGTTATGTTATAGTTAAGTAGTAGTACACGTGTCAATCAAATAAAGAAGGAGACATGAATGAGACATCACTTTTGGGACAACAAACCCGAACCCATAAGAAAAATGGAGTTTTAACGAAAAATCCACGGTACTGTTCTCTTTAATGAAAAACCACATTTTTACACTAAAAAGTCAAACCTTGTACTATTCACTTTACCCTTTATTTTGTCCTTATCATTAAAACTCAAAGTTTTTAAGTCATTTTCATTAGTTTTCCTTAAGAAAAATGCAACATCTGACCATTTTGAAGAGAAATTTTTAATTGTGACGGGAACATGGATGGTACACCACGTGTTTCTATGTAAGTGGCAGAAAATTTTAATTTTTAAGTTATTAACCTTTTAACATACATATCTCACCATTTATATGAAAACATGTGGTGTACCATCTCGTGTGACGGTCACACTGAAAGATTCCTTCCATTTGAGGATTCGCAATAAATTTTTGGCGGTTGCTAAACAGAGGCAGACGCACTTACATGCAAGGAGGGTTAGCTAGCTAACCTTTTGCACTCTAGTGAATATTCATGGATAATTTAGGTAATGTATTTTTGAAGGTTGAAATTGGTCTTTATACAAGCATTCTAATTGTTTAATAAAATATTTTAAAGAAGAGTCGCTATTTTTATTATTATTTTTTTCTTAAATATGACCTGGCCAATACGACGCATTTTTCGACAAAATCACTTTATAAAAAGTAAAATAAAAATGCAACAACGAAACAAAAAAGATACGCTAAAACTTAAAATAAAAAAAACAGAATCAGCAAACCCCAATCCCAAAACTCAATTCCAAATTTTCAATTCTAATTCTCAACTCCCAATCCAACCAAACTCACTTCCTAACGCCCAAACTTCTACCACCACACTTTCGCGATCATTCCAACAACCACCTAAATTTAATCTTTCAGATTTCAAAGTAACTTCTTCATAACTTATTAAATAATTTATTTTATGAATAATAAAATTTGAATATTATGAAATTTATTGCATAACCGAATAACTGAATTTAAATTTCTTTTATGAATAGTAGATTTGTTTTTTTTTTGTTTCTACAGTTGCTTCTGCTTAGTGGATGGAGTCTTTTTCACTATGATGTTGTGAATAAAAGTTCATTACCTCACAAAATGGAAGATGATTGAGTGTTAGCATCGTAATTTATATTAAATGCAATGTTATTTTTTTCATTAATAATGAAGCTATAAAGCAACACCTTTAAAATATAAAAACTCGTAATGCACAGTTATAACTGTACTGTTATTTGTTTTTTAAATTTTGAATGATAGAACTATGACTTAATTAAAATTATCACATATCTGAGATTCTATTATTTAATTTAAAGTTATTACATGTCTAAAAAATATTTGTGAATTTCTACATGTAAACCTCTGAATAATTTTTGGGAGTTTTAATGAAAAATCCGCCGTACTGTTCACTTTAACGAAAAACCACATTTTTACACTAAAAAGTCAATCCTAGTACTATTCACTTTACCTTTTATTTTTTCCTTATCGTTAAACTCAAAGTTTTTAAGCATTTTTCATTAGTTTTCCTATAATTTTTCCTGAATCCGCCGCTAAAGAAAATGTTATAGAATATTTGGATGCAGTATAATCATATTTTGAGCCCTGAGTATATTTATTATGAATTTCTAAGCAAGTATAAAAAAAGAAAATAAAAAAAATTGAAATTGATAGCAGTAAATAAAATCTCCGAATTGTCCTACAATATGACTACTACATAACTATTACAAAGTTTAAAATGCGGGTAGGAATTTACCCTTTATTCTGAAGGTGGCAGCTAGTGGAGGTTAATTATTTGGAAACATCAAACTAGGTAGAGATCAAATTAAAGCCTGATCAATCATCAATACAGAGAAGACTCAGAAGAGAGAAGTAAATATGATTACTGTTTTGTAGTGCATGCATGGTTGATTTTAATAGTCAGGCCTTGTCGTCGTTGCTGTATATATGAAAATCAGGCTGGTTGGTGACCGATCTAACCCAGGCCCATTTGTGGTCTCTCGTGTCGACTTCATTTTTAGCCTTGGCAACCTCTTCCAGTGGAATGTAAGCATAGTTTCCGTTGATGGGGCCAGACACAAATCCAGTATACCCTGCCATGACTCCGTGGATTGCTGAATGCGCTACCAGTGTGCAGTACAAGTTATCTGTTGAATTTGCAGCAACCGCGCGTATCATGTATGTCGGATCTATGTACTTGACAGTGAAGAGCTCATTTGGGTGCTCCCTCTTCCACCACTTGTTTAGCTCCGACTTCAACCACTGCCCAACGTCAAGGAACACTGGGTTCCCTGATTCATCCTTATTATTATCAGCATGATGATCATTGTTATTAGCCTCGATCATTTGATCCTGTCCAGCTCCCTCAGCCACTACTAACACTGCGTGTCCATTCTCCCTCAATCGCTGCTCAAGGAACTCAAATAGCCCTCCTTTTCCTTCCAGGTAAAATGGAGTTTCAGGAATTAGGCAGCAGTCCACGTCACGGCTGCTCAGTGTTGCATGTAGAGCAATATGCCCTGTACTTCGACCCATTAGCTTCACCAACCCTATTCCATTCACTGCACTTTCCGCCTCCACATGAGCTGCGCTGATTGCCTGCTGCGCCATTTCTACCGCTGTCTGGAACCCAAAAGACCTGTCAATGATACCTACATCATTGTCCACAGTTTTTGGAATTCCAGTCACCGCAATTTTCAGTTTGCGCTGACATATCTCATGATATATCTCAACAGCCCCGCGCATCGTGCCATCTCCACCTATGATGTACAACTGTTTGATAATATGCATATTAGTTATCTATGGAGATTATCAGAGCAGATAAAGTTAATAACTCAACTAGCTCGGGTCATTCATAACATAACCATTTACCATTACAATCATGTTTTGTTGGTACACATATATAAAAGCGATGGTACTCGGTACCTTCAAATATAAATATAAATATATATATGTGGCAACTGAGTTTATTAGAACACAATTCATGGTTTTGATAATTCTGATAGAAAGACACAAAACAAAAAATTAAGTTTTGCGACACTTTTAGTCATCACTTATCATCGTATCAGGCTAAGAAATTATTAGACAAGTCACTTATAGCTGTATTTTGTGACACTTCTAGCCATCACTTGTAGCTGTGTTTGGGCTAAAAGTTGCTACATTCTCTACAAACATAGTTTTAAACCTGTTATAGCAAATGCTTAGTTTTTGTGTAGTCGCATACAAATACGCCCCATCCTCTCGAACTAAAAATTCTTAATACCCATGCCTACTATTGAATTTGACATGAGTGTTTGAGATTAAAACACATCTATTTATAATCCCCCTTTGATACCAAATTGAAAAATGGGTGACCATCCATTTATTCTCTATTTTGATATCAAATCTTAAAATGGGTGCTCATGAATTCTTTGGTAACCTGATAACTAAGAGAACACTTCTGATCCAAATACATCTAGCATCAGCTGGGCATTAAACAAAGTTACTTTTACATGTGTAGCTAGGTTAGGTAGTAGATAATCATCATCAAGTCATAGAGAAATCACCACCACACAATTTTCGTTTAATTTAGAAATAAACTAAAGAGGGGTGGGGTTGCGTACTAGAGGAATATATAACTCAAATAGTAAAGGAATTAATTCAAATTGATTGGCATGAATGACAACCTGATTATAGCCGCGATGTTGGATGGCATCGACAATCTTTTGAAGATCAAAACCACCTCTGGAGGTCTGGAGATGGGTGCCACCGTTCTTGTGCCAGTTGTGAACAAGCTTGGGGTTGAGTGGGAGGGGTTCCGTAGAGTAAAAGCCACGGTAGCCAGCCTTGATGCCAAAAATGTGGCGGACTCCGTAGAGATCCCAGAGGCCAAGAACGAGCTCTCGGACGACGGTGTTGAGACCCGGGCAGAGGCCACCGCAGGTCACAATAGCCGCCTTGATCCTGGACGCATCGAACAAGATTTGGCGTCGTGGGCCGGCGCGGTGGTATGCCAAGGCACTAGTAGTAGTACTAGAGTAGCCTTGTTTTTCTTCTTCACCGCCACCTCCACCTGCTGCTGCAGCTTTCGGTTGAGGGTGTTTGTAGTCGTAGATGATGTGGCGGAGGACGACATCAGATGGGGCTATGTAGAAACAATCGGACTGGGAGAAGAAGGGGTTGTGTTCTAGTGGGTTGGTGTTGATGAGGTTACTTTGAACTAGGTCTAAATCTGATCCGAGCGAGAGATGATCAGTTAGGAGGGGTAGTTTCTGGAGCTTCACACGATTAGAGAAGGGCAAGTATATCATCACCCGATCTTCATCATCATCATCATGTCTTCTCGTTGCTGCTGCTGCTGCTGGGTCTGTCTGCGCCACGGCCATCGTCTTACCTAATTCCAGGCTAGTTTATAATTATAACCAAATATATCACAAACAATTAAACAGCCTCAAGTTTTCCGCAAATATCTCAAATGAAGAATGAATCATCTCCCTGAAAGATATATATATATTTAATAAGAGCATGCAACACTCAGCTGATGACGTCCTCTACCGTTCAACATCTCATCTGATCTGATCAGACAAAAACAAGACTGCACGTGGCGCCCCCTCTTGCAAGACAGTAGACACGTAACCCCTCCACGTTGTCAAATGTCAATTACATGATCACGATATTTACATTTACAAGGTTTGAGTCACTCAACGAATTTGGTTTGACAAATTCATTTTCAAAATATCTGAAACACAACTGCATATCGTTATTACAGCATGGTGATGCACAAAATCAATGAGAATTTAGTATAACAAAAAATGTTAAGTTTGTGACTTTCGTTAAGTTGATTCGGTCACTTGTGTGAATAAGTATGTAAATGAATAGAGACAGGGAAGCAAACACAAGATGTACGTGGTTCACCCAGATTGGCTACGCTCACGGAGTTGAGGAGTTCTCATTAATTGTGAAGGGTTTACACAAGTACATAGGTTCAAGCTCTCCTTTAGTGAGTACTAGTGAATGATTTAGTACAAATGACATTAGGAAATATTGTGAGAGAATGATCTCTATTTATATAAGATAGTTTCTAGTTTCATTCTGACATTGACACGTGTCGTGTTGTGATTGGCTTCTGATGTTGACATGTGTCGCGCTATGATTGGCTTCTGATGTCGACACGTGTCGCGCTGTGATTGACCTCCTGGTTGGAGGAAAACTCTTATGGATTCTTGACGGTATAACATTGACGGGTGCTCACACCCTTTTAAAGAGCTTGTTTTAAAATTGTTTCGTTTTTATATCTTTCTTTTTACTTTTTATATTAAGAAAATTGTTAGGGTGACCTCCTAGTACCATTCTTGTTTTAAAGATGGAAGAAGAGTGCATGCAAGAAATAGTAATATAAAGAAATTTGAAAAATGAAGGATAATTGATGATACTATGAGACTATGTGCAATGATTGGGGTTAAATTTTTAAAATATTGGGGTTAAATTTTAATTTTAAAAATTTAACCAAGAGAATTTTAAGTTATAACTCTTTTTTTTTTTCCGTTCAATAAATATGACAAATTTTAAATTTGATATTATAGAATGATGTCGATATATGTAACAGCTTGTCCCGAATTATTATATATTTTATTCCCAAGTATGTAAAATGTCGATAATGCCCTCGTGGTTTAGTGACGAGGATGGATATATATAGTTTTAAATTATTTTCTCGATCACGAAATTAAATGGTGCTCGACGTCACGAGCACAATGGCATGAATTAAGAAGTGGAATGGGCGAATTCTATTTTGGGTTGGGTTATTTCTTCTTTGGACCGATTTTTAGGGTTTAAATCCTATGGCCCAATTAAGGGCCTTATTATTTACCCATCCTACCCATGCCTTTTCCCCCCCACTCCAGAAACTTCTCCTTTTCTCCCTCACACTCTCCCACACCTCTCCCTCTCTCGGTGCTCTTGTCCCCGACGCAACACACACACACATACTTGCAGACACGCTACAAGTCTACAACCATCAGAACCTTTCCCTTTTCTCCCTCACGTCCTACTCTCATCCTTTTTCACCCCCAATATTGTGTAGTCACGGTGTGGTGACTCCAACGAGATCTTGAACCTTTTGATTAAGGTAAGCACCTTAGACCGCTATAAAATTATGTTTAGACTAGATAAGGATATTTTGAGACATTTTGGAGTGGTGTGGATGCAAAACCTTTGGGGAAAAACATTTCTAGAATTTTTCTGGCGAGTGGTCGTGAGTTTTAGGGCTTTTTCGGACGATCTCGACGGCAACATCACTCCATTTATTCACATTTTCCACATCACCATACTTTATGGCTTCGTCACCTTCCAGGTGTCAGCCAGCACAACTCGATTCGGAATTCTAGTGGACATTCCGAGTCAGGGTGTGTCAATATATTTTTGCCTTAACGTTAAAAAAAATAAACTTTATATATATTCTAATTTATTTTTATGAGCATGTTAACAAAAATTAAATTGGAATTTAGATTAATAATAAAAAAATCACACAACCTATACATTTTTACTTCTCACACACCCCCCCCCCGGTTAATTTCTGTCATTAGATTTTCTTCAGCTCATTCTATCTGACGTCCGAAATTAAGAGGATGTGTGAAAGGTAAAAATAGCGTATGGATAGCACCACCCTTTATAGAGTTTTTGGGTGATATTTGAGTTAAATATAGTTTGTATTTGTTTTAGCACTGGATTTAATTTTGTGCCTTTAGACTTTTTTTTTTACTATTACATTTGCTCATATTCTATCATAGTCGTTCAATTTAATGTAATATAAAAAAAAATTGAATCTAAACCGTTAGATCAACCAATGGCCCATTCATGGTTGAAAGAGCCATTACTCATTAGGCTCATAGACGGAGCCACCTTGGCCCCAAAGGGGGCGGATGCCCCCACTAGGTTTTGTAACAGTGTGCATGGAAAAAATGCAATGCATATAGCAATCCCATGTGATACAACATTTTTGGATATGAAATTTATGAAGAATTGATTAAGAAATTGAATGGAGATTAAGAGATGAATGATAATACGGTTATTTTTATAGAGAGTGATGTTTGATAGTATTGGTAATGAAATTGTCATGCAACACTTTTAAAAGATGAAAATGTGTCGAGAGATATTATAATATGTTGTATGAAAACCTTATGGATTAATATATGTGTTTTGTTTGATAATTTCATGAGCTTCTTGATTTATAACTTTATTGTTTGAGGATGCCCCCATCTATATAGATTTCTGACTTCGTTCCTGATTATGCTCCCGAGTAGTGGCTGAAAAAAGTTGTCAGCCACTGGGACCTAGTGAGTGCAGCTTTGTCGCGTGTTAAGCTTCCGGAGTAAAATTTAGCTGCACCCCATTTGTTCAACGCGTCTACACATAATGCGGGCCTAGATCTTTAACCCAGGCTTAAAACTTGCGTGGAATATGGCCCACATTTCCCCACATGGGTTATTTAAAGGACAATAGTTGGAAAGCAATTGGGGTGGGTTTAAAGCTTAAATTTTAAACTTTAACCCAACCATTACACATGGCCTAAGACTGAAATAATTATTTAACCAACCTAAAGTTTCTATTTCTAGAGAAATTTTTTGTGTTACTCAAAACACAAGATGGTACACCATATGTTTCATATCGTGGTTTATATAACTCATTACTCATCATTTCCTCTTGTATGCTTCAATCAAGAACACATCAGCCAAATACATCTCAGATTCTCAATTGCATATAAACTACATTTCAATCATGATATATGGTTAAACATAAGTTTAATATATAGAATCTCATTCGCATATAAAATACATCTTTGTTGATGCACAAAACCGGAGGGGTCTTGGAACAACGTAAATCCGACCGTGAATATGCAAGAAATGTAAATAACACAAGATGTATCGTGGTTCACCCCAATGTTTGGGCTACGTCCACACTGATATTGTATTTCTCTAAGAGGACTGTGAGGGAGAGAACCTCTGTAATGTGAGAGGGGATGTGAGAGGGTGAGGGGGCTTCAGGCCTAAGAGTTTGCCTCCTCTAATGAGGAGTGTGATGAGTCATTTTATAGAATAAGGGCTCCTCACTTATTACATATTTGCCCCTTCCTTTATTACATAATTACATTTGAGTCCCTCGAGTATTTATACGAGATCTAAATACGGAAGCCTTAAGTATGGTACAAATGGTAATCCCTCAAGTCTTCAGTCAAGAGATTTTTTTGGCTGGAGACTTGAAATTCAGTCCATATGTGGGCCGAAGTAACAAGATGTCGTCTTGAACTGATACTTGATATGAGGCGGTACTTAAAGTGAAATGATGCTCAACTAGAAGTACCACATGTTGAGAGGTTGCTCTGTTTATGGCTTATGTTGCCTTGGTTAGCTCGGCTTATGGCGTTGATGGTGAGGGAGTCCCTTTTATAGAATAAGGGTTCGCTCCTCAATACATAAGTGATGGGCTAGGAGTTGATGCTCGTGGTGAGGTGGTTACTCAGCAGGCGGCGATGCTCTCTAATGATGGTGAGGGAGTCCCTTTTATAAAATAAGGGATTGCTCCTCAGTACATGAATAATGGGTTAGGAGTGATGCTCGCAGCGAGACGGTTGCTCAGCTGGCGGCGATGCTCTCTAATGATGGTAAGGGAGTCCCTTTTATAAAATAAGGGCTCGCTCATCAGTACATGAATAATGGGTGCTCTCTAATAAAAGTGAGGGAGTCCCTTTTATAGAATAAGGGATTGCTCCTCAATACATAAATAATGGGCTAAGTCCCCCAAGTATTTTTCATGAGGCCCAGTTGAGGCCCAATATATGGTACATAATGTAGTCCCCAAGTTTTCGGTCAATAGAGTCTGTTGGTTGGAGACTTCAAATTGAATCCATGTATGGGCCGAAGTGGCAGTTGTTCGAAGGCGGTATTTGTATACCCTGCACTGAAGCTTTGTAGGTGAAGCTTTGCAAGTGAAGTTTTGAAGATAGAGCTCTGTAAATGAAGCTTTCGAAGTTGGAGCTTTGTAAATGAAGCTTTTGAAGCTAAAGCTTTTGTAAATGAAGCTTTTGAAGCTATAGTTTTTGTAAATGAAGCTTTTGAAGCTAGAGCTCTGTAAATGAAGCTTTCGAAACTAGATTGACATAGTGATGCCCATGAATGTTTATGTTGATTGACATGAGTGATGCTCATGGATGTTGACATGAGTGATGCTCATGGATGTTAACATGAGTGATGCTTATGAATGTTAACATGAGTGATGCTCATGAATGTTAACATGAATGATGGTCATGAATGTTTATGTATGATTGACATGACTAATGTTCATGCATATTTATGTATGATTGACATGAGTGATGCTCATGTATAATTTTTGGAGTACTGAGCGTACTTTTGATCACCTGGTTGGTGATAATAGCGGCGGGGTGCCGAATAATTTTTTGTAGTACTAGGCGTACTTTTGGTCACATGGTTGGTGATAATAGC